GCTTCGTACTCGGCCATGTTGTTGGTATAATCAAAATTAAGCCTGGCTGTTACAGGGATGTGTTTCTTTTCAGGGGATATCAAAATTGCTCCTATCCCGTGTCCAAGCATGTTTGAAGCCCCATCGAAAAACATAGTCCATGCTTCTTCTTTGGTCTTTTCGTGTTCAATGTGCATGATATGCTCATCGGGAAAGTCATCTTGTAAGGACCGGTATTCGTCTGTTGATCCATGGGCTAGATAATCCACTAGGGGACTTCCTTTAATAGCTTTCTGGGTGACATGAATGATATCGAATTCTGAGAGGAGGACCTGCCACCTAGCTATTCTTCCAGTTAGAATGGGCTTTTCAATGAGGTATTTGATTGGGTCCATTTTGGAGACCAACCATGTCGTATGTCGAGCCATGTACTGTTTGAGACGCTGAGTGACCTACACCAATGCGCAACAGGTTTTTTCGAATGGTGTATAACGGGTTTCATAATCTAGGAATTTCTTACTGAGATATTAAATGGCTCGTTCTTTCTTCCCAATTTCATCTTGTTGGCCGAGCACACATCCCATGGACTCTTCAAGTATTGACAAATATAGGATGAGAGGTCTCCCTTCAACGGGTGGTACCAATACTGGCGGATTAGTTAAACAAGTTTTGATCTTATCGAATGCTTGTTGGCATTCTTCATTCCACACCGCTGGTTGATTTTTGCGCAACAGTTTGAAGATGGGTATACATTTGTCCGTTAATTGTGCAATGAAACGGGCAATGTAGTTGATCCGGCCCAGAAAGCCTCTGACCTCCTTTTCCGTGCTTGGTGGAGGCATTTCCAAAATTGTGTTGGTTTTGTCGGGGTCCACTTCAATTCCCCTTTCGCTGACGATGAACCCTAAGAGTTTTCTTGATCGTACTACGAAAGTACATTTTGCTGGGTTCAATTTGAGTTGATATTTTTGGAGTCGGTCAAAAAGCTTTTTGAGATAATGAATATGGTCCCTCTCATTTCTGGACTTGGCAATCATGTCATCCACATACACCTCTATTTCCTTGTGGATCATGTCATGGAACAGCGTGACCATAGCCCTTTGATAAGTAGCCCCTGCATTCTTGAGTCCGAAGGGCATCACGCGATAGCAAAAGGTGCCCCATGGTGTAATGAAGGAGGTTTTTTCTCTGTCCTCAACGGCCAACTTGATTTGGTTGTATCCCGCATACCCATCCATGATGGAGTAAAGCGTGTTGGTAGCGGTATGGTCTACTAGTGTGTCTATATGCGGTAGGGGAAAGTCATCTTTTGGACTTGCTCGATTGAGGTCCCTATAATCCACGCAGACCCTGACCTTCCTGGTCTTTTTCATGACGGGTACTATGTTGGCCAACCATTCTGGGTATTTGGAAACTACAAGGAAATTGGCATCCAACTGCCTTTGCACCTCCTCCTTTATCATTAAGGACCAGTCCGGTTTGATTCTTCTGAGTTTTTGTTTCACAGGTCGGGACCCCTCTTTTAATGGCAATCTATGTTCCACTATACTAGTGTCAAGCCCAGGCATGTCATGATAAGACCAAGCGAATACATCTATATATTCCTTCAGAAGTCGTATCAATCCCCTTTTTATGCTGCTTTCTATTTGGGTACCGATGTTCACCTTTTTCTCCTCATGCCCTTTTCCCAAATTAACGGTTTCTATCTCTTCCTGATGCGGTTGTATGATACGTGTTTCTTTTTCCAACATTCTTTGCATGTCCGGAGAGATGGTCTCCTGCTCACTGTCAGACTCGACCCATTCGCTTTAAGTTTCCGAGGTACATAGAGATTCATCAATCACAGACATGATGTGTTTTAGGTTCTGTTTTAGTCATAGATTTTATTATTCAATTTATCTTTGAAAGAATAATAAATAGAAGAGGGAAAAGAATGAATATGAAAAAAATGCCTCGTGTATTAAAGAGAATGAAGATGTATGTACAAGCCCTTTTAAACAAAATTCCTGCGGCCACGGGCGGGGACCGCAGGAGATAAAGAGAAAAGCTTAAAAAACAGACACCCTATGGCTGATCCTCCCAGTCCTCCCTCTCTGCTACTCTGGCTTTGACAGAGGTTTGACATCGACATCGGAAGCAGAGGAGTCAAAAGTTATCCACCCAGCGTCGATTAATTCTTGAACCCGATACTTAAGGGTCAAGGAATTTACTACAGAGTGTCCGGGTGAACCCGAATGGTAAGCGTATTTCTCGTTTGGCTTATACCATTCGGGGTAGGGAGGCTCCAGCTGCTTCTTGGGAGGAGCGCAGGTTAGGAGCTTAGCCTCCAACAGCTGAGGCAGCACCATTCCATAGGAAGTGGAGATTGGAGTGAACTTCCTCTCTTTCTTGCGGGGCTGTCTGGTCATTGGTCGGGTAGAAGAAGGAGTGGCAAAATTGATTGCATGCATAGATTCGTCCTTCTTCTTGCCGGCAGGCTTCGTGAATGAGACCCCGACTTGGGAAGACTGTGCTATCTTCCTGCTCCTCAGTCCCTGTTCTACTCTTTCCCCTACAGTGACTATGTCTGAGAAAAGGTTGGAGGTACTGGCTATTGCCTTGTCGTAGTACGCTCCAGTCAGTGAATCGATGAACATAGCCACTGTCTCCTTATCTGTCAAAGGAGGCTCTATTTGGGCAGCCATTTCCCTCCATCTTTGGGCGTATTCTTTGAAAGGTTCGTCGTTCCTTTTGCTCAGAGTCCTGAGATCTGACCTATCGGGGGTCAGATCAATGTTGTATCGGTAGCGACGAAGAAAAGCATCAGCCAATTGTTTCCAGCTCTAGACCTGCCCTCTCTCCAGCTGCATATACCAATTGAGAGTTGTGTCCGCCAGACTCTCCTGGAAGCAGTGGATCAGGAGTTTTTCATTTTCAGCATGGGCGGCCATCTTACGGCAATACATCATAAGATGGTTCTTTGGGCAGGTCAACCCGGCGTATTTGGGGAAGTCCGGGATCTTGAATTTGGGAGGGAAGTGGATATTCTTCACTAGGCACATGTCCGCCACCTCCTTGACGTCAAAGTTGTGCCCTTCTACTGCCTTAAGCCTCTCCTCCAGGGCGGAGAGTTGTTGTTTGGACACTTCTGGGTTAAGGATGCGTGCAGTCTTAGCATCCTTTCCGTCATAGAAGTATTCCTCTTCCTCTTCCTCATGGTGAGGGATGTGTTCAGGTTGGTCTTCGCCCTTACTTTGACCCTGGCGGACGACCTCCATTAGTTGGGCCACTTCCTCGCGGAGGGTGTTGACCTCCGCAGTGAGCTTTTGGTTTTGCTCTTCTAAATTTTCCATTGCTCTTGCTTTTTGTGCTCGAGTGCGGACGTGGAGAGGACCAGCCACTTTTTAGAATGCCCAAAAGAATTTTATTAATGCATGTTGAGTGTTTGAACTAAAATGAATATGTGCATGTATGAGGAATCTTGCTGAACGTATTCTCACTTTTTATTTTCTCTCTTGGTTTTTCTTGCTCATGATATGATGTAATATGAATGATTTGACTTTGTCAGAAGTTGATTTTCTTTATTTTTTTAGTATATATATTTTATGTTTATTTTTTATAGCCTTTTATCTCTTCTGTCGGAACTGCGTGGCTACTTAGCTTCCAAAGAACCAGAAACCAGGCTAGCTAAAAGGCAGACTGTCCGAGATAAAATGTGGCTTTATGTAAAAGAATAGTTAGCGTCTTTTATCTCTTCTGTCGGAACTGCGTGGGTACTTAGCTTACAAAGAACCTGAAACCAGGCTAGCTAAAAGGCAGACTGTCCGAGATAAGGGTGTTTATTGTAAAAATATTTTTTGTGATTTTTTTGTTGTTGTTTGGTTATGCTATGCAACAGACAAATGCAAGAAACATATGCACACACAATTCGATCATCCACGAACAGGCGAGAATTCATTTTTATCACGAGGTAGGGTTTTCCTGCAAAAAAGTGCATTGGCGAGGGTAGGTTCTAACTGTTCTCACCAGGCTAAGGCCCCCAAGGTGCCCCCATTATAGGGTCCCCACTCTCCAGCCTTCTGACCATGCTTAGCACTAAGGCCATAGTCAGTCTTTGTGCCAAAAGAGGAAGGCTATCACCTTGAGTGGTGGTTTTCGATCACACCGGTGGGCACAAGGCCATCACTACAGCGAACTGTACCTGGCACCCACTCCCTATGGTTTTCTCACTTTCCCCTGGGTATAGAGGGAACTGTTGTGTGCAAGGGTTTGTGTACAGTTTGTATTTCACACAATTGCGTAAGTATAAACAAGCAAGCGTTATTAAAGCCAAACCGTAAAACATGTTATAATACAAGGTAGGGCAAAAGCGTTATTTTCTTGGTTTATTTATTTTTAAGCTGGCCCATAACTAAATGGGATCAACTCTCTAGGCTTCCCCAGTGGAGTCGCCATCTGTCGCCACCGTCAAAAAGAGGCGGTCGGAGCGACGCGATGGTCTTTTCGACTTTCCAATTTTCGCATTTTTTGTTGGTGGTTACAACGCCTTTAGATTGTCCGATAACCGGGCTAATCCAAAAGCTGGTTTTGAAAGGTTCTGTGGAGTAGCCACCGATGTTTTTACCGAAAACATCAGAAAAGGGATTAAAAGGCGTTGGTTTTCGAAAAACCAACTTTGGTCATTAGAACCAGAGTTGGGTAAGGGAGTTAGTTACGTGTAAAGGAAGTATTAGTTCCTTTACGATGCCCCTTTCGGGTTCCCTATGATAGGCCAGTTATTTAAAAATATTTAAACCGGTGAAAATTATGCTTTTGCCCTTTTATTTGCGGAATTAAAATTATGACTACATGGCCCTAGCTTCTATTGCATAATGAAGATTAAAGCAGTAAAGTAGAGAGAGAGTGTAGAAACCTCCGAGGCAAGCTTTTCTATTTAATTTTTGATAACTTGGGTGCTTTTTGGCATCCCTTCACTCTACACAGCTTCGTAAACCTCTCAAAACGCTCAAAAATACTCTTAGAGATGCTCAGAAACTCTGGAAATGCTTCGGAGGGGTTCTAGAGAGAGAAATTCTAGAGAGAAGAAGGAGAAACTGTGTGGAAATGAGGGAATGGAGGCCCCTATTTATAGTTTTTCGCGCTTGACAGGTCGAGACCGTCATCTCGTCTAACAGGGTCGAGACCGCCGTCTCATCAAACGAGACCGCCGTCTCGCCATGCCAAAATGGCGAGACCGCCGTCTCGCCAAACGAGACCACCGTCTCGGCTTCGCAGGTGGCGAGACGGCGATCTCGATTTCGAGACGGCGGTCTCGTCCCCTAAAAGGCGAGAAACCTTATTTTTGTGCCGAAAATCCCTCCTATCCTAGCATGGGGCCTAATAGTCTCTCCTAGTGGCTTGTTAGGCTTCGTCCATCTTCGAATAGGAAGTCTTTTACTCTTTATTTGGAGGACGGGCAAGATTTGGGGTCTACAAAGCCTAAACAATACAACCAACCCTGACCACCCATTCTTCTAAATACCTTTTGAAATCCTTCTATAAAAGAAATAAAACTTTTCCTCATTTATCAATAAAATTCCTTTTCATTTCCTTTCTCTTGACCAAATATTATGGAAATGCCTCTTTATTGATAAATCGTAAATATGCGCAAAGACCTTTAATCAAAGATCAAGCATGCATCTAAAAAATGGAAGCATAAAAAAATAATAATAAAGGAATAAAAGCCTGCTAGGATATTCTTAGGAAAAAACTAGGGTAGCCTGCTAGATCGGAAACCCCAAAAGAACGGTCTAGGCAAAAGATAAGGAAAAAGCCCCCTAAGATATTCTAGGCAAAAATTAAGGCAGCCCGCTAGATCGAAAACCCGTAAAGGGCGGTCTAGGCAAAAGATAGGGCTAAAACCAAGAGATGGATAAAAAGAGGAGCCCATCATCATGGTCATAAAGGAGGAGCCCATCGGTGTATTCATAAGTGTCGCCGCCATCAAAAAGAGGCGGTCGGAGCGACGCCATGGTTTCGACCCTTTTTGATTTTTAGCGTTTTTTATGGGTGGTTACAACGCCTTTAGGTTGTCCGATAACCGGGCTAACCTAGGGGCGAGGTTTTCGAAAGGGCGTCTTTGGGTTGTCCGATAACCGGGCTAACCCAAGGAATATTTTGAGGGGTTCTGTGGAGTCGCCACCGATGTTTTTACCAGAAACATCGGAAAAGGGGTTTTTAAAGGCGTTGGTTTTCAAAAACCAACCTTGGTCATTAGAACCAGAGTTGGGTAAGGGAGTTAGTTACGTGTAAAGGGAGTATCAGTCCCTTTACGACGCCCCTTTCGGGTTCCCTATGACAGGCTGGCTATTTAAAAATATTTAAACCGTGGAAAATTACGCTTTTGCCCTTTTTATTGTGCGGCATTTAAAAGTATGACTACATGGGCCTAATCTATTGCATAATGTAAATTTAAAGCGATAAAAGGGGAGAGGAAACCTCCGAAGCAAGCTTTTTCTTTTATTTCTCTTTAAAAGAGGGTGCTTTTTGGCAACCCTTCACTCTACAAGACGCCGGAAACTCTTCTGGACGTCAAAAAAATGCTCTCAAAGACACTCAGAAACTCCGGAAATGCGTCGGAGGGATTCTAGAGAGAAGTTTTTAGAGAGAAGGCAGAGCTAATGCTCGAGGTGTGTGGAAATTAGGGGGGAGGACCCCTATTTATAGGTTTTCACGCTGTTAGGTGGCGAGACCACCGTTCTCGTCTGACAGGGTCGAGACCGCCGTCTCGTCCAACGAGACCACCGTCTCGCCCTGTCAAACGTAGCGAGACCGTCGTCTGGGTAAGCGAGACCGCCGTCTCGCCCTTCGCAGGTGGCGAGACGGCGGTCTCGTCCCAACAAGGCGAGAAAACTTATTTTTTGGTACAGAAACTCCCTCCTATCCTAGTATGGGGCCTAATAGTCTCTCCTAATGGCTTGTTAGGCTTCGTCCATCTTCAAATAGGAGGTCTTCTGCTCTTTATTTGGAGGTCGGGCAAGATTTGGGGTCTACAGTTGCCCCCCCTTTACCCGATCAGTCGACTGCCCGCCTTTTGTGCCAAGGTGATCGACTGGAGGGTAAAGGAGTTGACCCTCTTGCCCGGTTGCCCTTCAGATACTCTGTCTTTGCGACGGGTGATCCTTTGGGGTAATGTTGTGTTGTGCGCTTCTGGGATGCTCCTTTGACGCGGTAGCTGACCCCTTCTGCTGATGAGTACGAACGCTCATCTGGTTTGACGAGTATGAACCCCCGCCCGGTAAGTTCGCTTCTGTAAGGCCTGATGAGTACACACCCCCATCTGGTGTTTGACGAGTATGAACCCCTGTCTGGTAAGCCCCCTTTTGTAAGGCCCGATGAGTACACACCCCCATCTGGTGTTAAGCCTCCGGATGCTCCATCTTGCGGTAGCTAATCCTTTGGCTGTGGTGGCGGCTTACTGATTCTGATCACGCGCCGATGTGAAACCTTGGGATGCTCCTTTGACGCGGTAGCTGACCCCTTGGCTAACGAGTATGAACCCTCGTCTGGTTATGTGCCTCTGGATGCCCCTTCTTGCGGTGGCTGACCCTTCGGCGATGGTAGCGGCTTATTGCTCTAGCTCATGCGCCATTTTTTGAGATGTGTCCTCTTGTCTTCTGAGGTTTTTCCGGTCTGTGCCGGGGATTTTGTGGGTGTTCATCCAGCTTGTTGATTGCTGGGGATTCTTTGTTTTTTGGCTTTTTGTAGTGGTCATCCGACTTTGCTGGTTGTCGGGGATTTTTGATGAGTGCCTCTTAGGTAGGCAGGAATCCTCTGGGGATTTGTTGATCTTGGTGACACCTCTTGAGTAGGCGAATATCCATTGAGTTTCTGGTAATGCCTCTGAGTAGGCAGATGCTTCATCGGAAGTGAAGACTTTTGGCTTCATTTGTTTTGCCTCTGACTAGGCTGATATGTGGATGCTCTTTCTCTTTTTGGTGATCCACCGGGGAATTGATTGCCTTCCCGGGGATCTAATTTTGATTTCCCCCCTAAAGGAATGGAGTTTGTTGGTATGAGATGGCTTTGCCGATACTCTTGTTTCATTGGGATTTCTGATTCCTTCTTTTTCGTTGATTTTCCCTTTTCTGCGGTGACCCACTTAGGGAGCAAGGATTTTTATTTGATTTCGCCTTTTTCCGCAATTTACCTCTTTTTTATTGCGATTTAAAATTTGGCTTTTTCGGGATAATGCATAAGCCTTTTTACTTTTTAGTCTCTTTTTATTATGCTGGCTTTTTCCCTTATTTTTTTGGGGAAGGTCCACTAGGGATGACGCTTTATTTCTTTAGTGATTTACCAGGGAATTAGTTGACTTCCTGGGGATCTGATTTTTCTTTTCTAGGAATGGAGTCTTGGGTCCTTGATTGATGTTGATGCGAGCTATACTTGTGAAGCTCTTATTCCACTTTTGACTGGGTTGTCCGATTTGGACGCACATCATGTCAAAACGAAGAGAAAAGGGTGAAGAACCAAGTAGCAAATTCCTGAAGGGGATTTGGCCCAGTAATTTCTCCAAAAAAAGCTTCTAAGACCCACTTTTTAGGGATTTATTAAAATGATGCGTATGCAGACTCTCCTTATACAGACTCTCCTTATGCATTTATTTTCTCTCTTGGTTTTTCCACTTATGATATGATGCGATATAAATGATACCACTTTGTCAAAATTATTAAATGTTTTGATTTTGTTATTATTATTTTATTTATTTTGGATTTATTTTTTATTTTATTTTATAGCCTTTTATCTCTTCTGTCGGAACTTCGTGGCTACTTAGCTTGCAAAGAACCTGAAACCAGGCTAGCTAAAAGGCAGACTGTCCGAGATAAAATGTAGCTTTATGTGAAAGAATATTTAGCACCCCTAATCTCTTCTGTCGGAACTGCGTGGCTACTTAGCTTACAAAGAACCTGAAACCACGCTAGCTAAAAGGCAGACTGTCCGAGATAAGGGCGTTTATTTGGAAAAAATATTTTTTGTGATTTTTCTTAGTTGTTTGTTTATGCTATGCAACAGACAAATGTAACAAACATATGCACATACAATTCAATCATCCACGAACAGGCGAGAATTCAATTTAATCACGAGGTAGGGTTTTCCTGCAGAAAAGTGCATTGGCAAGGGTTGGTTCTAATTGTTCTCACCAGGCTAAGGCCCCCAAGGTGCCCCCATTATAGGGTCCCCACTCTCCAGCTGTCCGACTATGCTTAGCACTAAGGCCGTAGTCAGTCTTGTTGCCAAAAGAGGAAGGTTATCACCTTGAGTGGTGGTTTCCGATCACACTGGTGGGCTCAAGGCCCTCACTACAGCGAACTGTACCTGCCACCGACTCCCTATGGTTTTCTCACTTGCCCCCGGGTATAGAGGAAACTATTGTGTGCAAAGGTTTGTGTACAGTTTGTATTTCACACAATTACGTAAGTATAAACAAGCAACAGTTATTAAAGCCAAATAATAAAGCATGTTATAATACAAGTTAAGGGCAAAAGCGTTATTTTCTTGGTTTATCTATTTTTTAGCCGGCCCATCACTAAATGGGATCAACTCTCGAGGCTTCCCCAGTGAAGTCGCCATCTGTCGCCGCCGTAAAAAAGAGGCGGTCGGAGCGACGCGATGGTTTCGACCCTTTTTTATTTTTCGCGTTTTTTATGGGTGGTTACAACGCCTTTAGGTTGTCCGATAACCGGGCTAACCTAGGGGCGAGGTTTTCAAAAGGGCATCTTTGGGTTGTCCGATAACCAGGCTAACCCAAGGACTATTTTGAGGGGTTCTGTGGAGTCGCCACCGATGTTTTTACCAGAAACATCGGAAAAGGGGTTTTTAAAGGCGTTGGTTTTCAAAAACCAACTTTGGTCATTAGAACCAGAGTTGGGTAAGGGAGTTAGTTACGTGTAAAGGGAGTATCAGTCCCTTTATGACGCCCCTTTCGGGTTCCCTATGACAGGCCGACTATTTAAAAATATTTAAACCGTGGAAAATTATGCTTTTACCCTTTTTATTGTGCGGAATTTAAAAGTATGACTACGTGGCCCTAATCTATTGCATAATGTAAATTTAAAGCGATAAAAGGGGAGAGGAAGAGTTTAAACCTCCGAAGCAAGCTTTCTCTTTTATTTCTCTTTAAAAGAGGGTGCTTTTTGGCAACCCTTCACTCTACAAGACGCCGGAAACTCTTCTGGACGTCGAAAAAATGCTCTCAAAGACACTCAGAAACTCCGGAAATGCGTCGGAGGGATTCTAGAGAGAAGTTTTTAGAGAGAAGGTAGAGCTAATGCTCGAGGTGT